TTTTATATTCTACTTTACATATTAAACTGTAAATTTATATTTAAATTTTTGCTCATTTTTTCTATCCATCATTTTAATATTGTTTATTTCATTCTTTTGCATGAAAGAATTATTTTCATAAATTTTATTTTTTCCTTATTTTATAAGACTTTTTCTTCTCGTCATCTTTTCCCTTTCTGTCTAATTCATAAGGTATTGTCATCCAATAAGTTTATCTCTCCCTCTCTCCCTTTCTCTCCTTATATATAATCATAATAAGATAAAAATGTAACCGTATTCAATGAAAATTTAGAATTAAAATTTTGATAAAATATAAATATGAGACTTTTTCATCGTTCTTAAATTTTTCAAAAAAAAAAAAAAAAGGAAAAAATTAACTTCCGTAAATATTTTAACATTTCTAATATATCTTTGTAAATGCAATGTCCAATTTATTGTATTTCATATTCATCCGTCAAAGATTTATAGTAGTTATTTTAAATTTATCTGTATAATGATAAGTGATAATACGAAAAAAGAAAAGAAATATTTCTATCATTTTTTCTTTTCTTTTTTCTTTTTATTTATTATCATGATAAAAAATAATATTTTTTTTTTGTCATAAAATTATTTAAAATCAAGTTTAATCATAATTCTGCACATTGAATTTTCATGTTTTCTTATAACAATCGAAAATAAAAATTATGTTTTGAAAAATTTATACTACTGTCACTACAATTTTTCAATATTCAAATTTCAATATTTATTAAAATTTAAGTATAAGTATCATTACAATATGTTAAGTTAATTATTAATGATATATAATTGCTGATAGTAAATGTAAAATGCTTATTTATCTGTTTTTATCATATTTTTCTTTTTTTTTTTTTTTTTTTTTTGCTCATTTTAATTTGATAGCCTGGAATTTGCTCTTCTGGCGTTTTTTTCACTTTATCTTTTACTTTTGCTTTTATTTTAGGTTGTTTAAAAATAGTGAAATTTAATCAACAAAGATTTAAATACATTTTTTCACTTTATCACTGTCACTAGTATTTATATTTATATTATTATTATTACTATCACTATTATTGTTGTTAATACTGTATTATTATATTCAAATGAAAATATTCTCATAAACTATTAAATTAAATAGAAAAAAAAATTTCATTTTTTAATTTTCGTCATTCATTCATTCATACCAGTTTTTATTTCTTCTTCCTTTCTTTTCTTTTTTTTTTTTTTTTGCTTTAGTCATCTTTTTAAAATCGTAATTTTGAATTTTTTAAATGATTGGAAAAAAGGAAAATGTTCAAAAAAGAAAATCTAAATGAATCATTGAATATTTTGTAAATTAAATTATTAACCAAATTTATGACAAACAAATGGTTTAGTCCAAGAAAAAAAGAACAATAAGATAAGCAGAAAAAAATGAAAGAAAAGCTATTATTTCAATTTAAACAAAAATATTTCGTAAATGTTATCTATCCTTTTACTACTTAATTTTCTTTAAACTTTTCATATTTCTTGTCTTTTCTTCTTCCTCTTTATTTCTTTATTTTTTATTTTTTTTTTATTTTTTCAAACTTGTCAAAAATGTTTTCTTCTTCATTTAACTTTATCAATTTGTTATTTTATTACAGTAGCAGCATTTAAACGAATGTTTTTTTAACTTTTTATATAACTTTCACTCTCTCTATTAATCATAATTTTTTTTTTTTTTTTTTTTCATTTTCCCATTCATATTTTCATCTAATAATGATAATATTTTCAACAATTATTAAATCAAAATTATTTAACAAAAACTAAATATATTACAATTAAATATGCATTTATATTGTTCAGATGGGAATTTCATTAAAATTATTTCAAATAAAAATATATATATCAAAAAAAAAAAAAAAAAAAGAAAAATAAAATGAGAAATTTTTGTTCCATTTTTATTCGTTTAAATCATCATTTTAAATGTTCATTTATTTTTGTTTTCTTTTTTATTTTAAAATTTCTTATCAAATTTAGTTGTAAAATTATAAATTACGAGAAACGAAAGAAAAAAAAAAACAACAAAAAAATTATATACGTAATTATAAATATTTAATAATTATACATACATATTTCTCTTTAAATAAATTATTAAACAAATAATAACAAAACTATCATTTAGCTTTTAGAAATAATAATAATAAGAAAAAAATGAAAGAAACTTGCTTTAACAACAATTAGTTTGAAATAATAGCTAAATAGCTAATAGTTTTTTTTTTGTTGTTGTTGTAATTGTAAGTAATGGAAAACTAACTAAATGTAACAATTTTTTTTTTTCTTTTTATGTTTATATTTTTAATGAATTATTATTATTTTTTTTTTTTTAAAATTTCTTTTCTCTTTTTCAACTTTATTCAATGCTTATTTGTTTATTATTATTGTTGGTGATATTATTATTATTGCTGATGTTATTTATTATCATTTATTATTATTATTGTTGCTGATATCATTATTATTATCATTATTCATTTCACAAACTTTTTATAATTTACAATTTAGCCTATAAAGTATAAAATGTCTAACACATTTGCAAATAAAACGACAATAACATCGAAAGTTTTATTAACTCATTTGTGCAAATTTCCAGATGTTTTCCAAAAAAAAAAGAAAGAATTGTTCCCACTTTGCTTCATTTTAATATCTAATCTTCTTCCACCTACGCTTTCCTCTCTTTCCTACCTATTATTTTATTCCCAATAAAAATAAAATGAAAAAATAAAAGTAAAAAATGTGTCATCAGTTTTTTTTTTTTGCACTCATTTTAATTATGGAAGACAAATAGTTTAAAATAGATTAATTAAACTAATATATCTATAAGTAAATAAGTAAGTAAGTAAATTTAATGAATATTTATTTTTGTTCTTTTACTTGCAAAATTTTTCCCATTTTTTTTTCCCTCTCTTCCTCTTCTTCTTTCTCATTTCCTTTTTATCTAATTTTAGCCCATGAAATTTGGATTGAAAATTTAATTTTTTTTTTTTATTTCTTTTATTTGCAAGAAAAAAATTTCCAATATTTTGGCGTTTTCTCATGTTTCATTTTCATATTTATTCTCATTTTAATTGCTTTAAGAATTTGTCATTGCTTAAAACAATTAGTCAAAATGTTTAATTAAATCTATAATTAAAAATAATTTGTTATCATGTTTTGATGATAAGAATGAAAGCAAAATATATCACTGATAAAAAATGATGGTATATTTTGCACAAAATCTTTGAATAATTCTAATTTTTTCATATTTTAATTAAATAAAAATGAGCAATCAAAATTGTGAAATGTAATTAACTTAACAATATGCAAATTTTCCATCTTTAATAGCTATTGCTTTATACTTTTTGTACAGGAAGATTATTCAGTTTTTTTTTTTTTCAGTATCATATTGTTTCTACTTTTTTTATGATTTAATTTATATTGTTTAATTTACTTAAATTATTTCATGCTATATCATTTAGAAAGAAATTAATCAGTTTGAATATTTATTTCACTACGATATATATGTATGATAATGAATGAATAATATCAATTCTTTATTATCAATAATTTAATGATAGATTATATTAATGAAAAATAATTTAAATAATATTTTAATCTAACACACTTAATTTTACTCTAAAAACTCTCAAAAAATTATAAATTATTAATCATCCATACATCAACAAATGACATTGTTCAGTTACAGTAATTAATTAATTAAAAATTTAGTGAAAAATTGTAGTAAAAGTCAAATTTTATCATTTAATATAAGGCTGTATGCTTTATTTATTTTCCATTGAATGAATTTTCAGTAGCATAAATCCCACTTGAAAATTACCTACCGAGGATACCAAGAATACCGCAAATTTGTTAGATAACTTTTAATCCCATTCGAGGATTATGTACCGAGAATACCAGGAATTATCCACCAAGAATACCACGAATTACCTACCGAGAAATTCATTAGAATAACATTCATTACACTCTTTCATTTCCAGGATTTTTTTTCAAAAACTTTTTCATTCAATTTTATTTTCCACTCTTTTCTGGCTGTTAATTTTTTGCTATTCCTCAAATATTAATTTGAAAAATCTTCGGAGAAAAAAAATTTGTTTGTTTGCTGACTGATGTTGAAATGAATGAGTATATCTCAGTCAATCGATCCATTCATTCATTCATTTTTCCGGATTAGTATCCGTAAATTTCTTTTCTTAGTGTATGTGAATGTATGTGAGTGTATGTGTGGTAAGTATGTTTTATTGTTGTTTGTTTGTTGTTATTTAAATGTTCAGTATGATAAAGTGGAAGTTGTTAGAAATGTCTTGTAAAAGTAATTCCTTCCTTTCGTTCTTTCTTTTCACTTCACTTATACAATATGAAGAAATTTTTATTTATTATTGCTTTCCTTTTTTTTTTTTTTCCAGAAAAAAAAAGTCGAAATAGTATGAAAGAAAAAAAGAAATTAATTTTAAAAGTGAAAAAAGAAAGAAATAAAAAATAAAGTTAATTTAAAAAAATTCCTTTTTTTTCTTCCTTTTTTCTTTTTTGAATTTCTTTTTATATTCAAAAATTATTTTTCATTATAATAAAAATTTTTTATGCGAAAAAATTAAATATAAAAACTTGCTAATATATATAACTTTTTTTGAAATTTTTTTTTATTATTTAACTTTGAAATTTTTTAAAGTAATAAAAATAAGCAAAAATTTTATTAATGAAAAGAGAAAAAAAATGAAAAACAAAGTTACTTTGTAATTATATTATTTTGCATCGTACATTAATTTATTTAGAAATGAAATTAAAAAAAAGAACGAAAGTTTTTTGAAATAAAAACAAAATATCACAAATTTTACTTTGCAATACATTACTATACACACACACACACACACACATACACACACACACACACACACACACACACATACACACACACACATACACACACACACACACACACACATACACACACACACATACACACACATACACACACACACACACACACACACACACACACACACACACACACACACACACACACACACACATACACACACACATACATGCACACATACATGCACATACATACATACATATACATGCATTGATACACGTATACATACAAATACATATGCACACATACACTCATAATATATATATGCACACACATATATAGATAGAGACATACACATACATGTGTGTGCGAATATATGCACACACGCACACACATATATATATATACACATACACGCATACACTCACGTACAAAACATATGCACATACTCATACACATATAAATGCATAAAGATACATAAATAGAAATACACACTCACATACATACACATACACATTTATGCATTCACATACATGCACACATACACCAACATACACACACAATATATATACCATAGAAATAGTTTTTTGAGAAAAACATAACAACAATCAGTTGTTGTTTCGAGGCAACAATTTTTAACTGTGAAACATTAATTTTTGTTACTTAACAGGTGCACCTGCTTGCTATGACCTTTTGATATGAGTCATCTGTCATACCTTTAAAATATTTTAGTTAATTTAATTTAAATAACAACAGTAATAAATGTATTAACAAATTTATTTTTTATCTTTTTTTCTTTTTTATTCTAATTTTTTTCTCTCTCTCTCTCTTTCTCTCTTTATTTCTTTAATTCGAATCAAAAAATAGAGAGAGAGAGAGAGAGAAAGAGAAAAGAAATGAAAGAAACAAAAAGAGAAAAAAAAGAAAAGAAAAGGATGAATAATGCAAAAAAAAAAAAAAAAAAAAGTGGATGAAACGAATTTAAAATACATCAAACATATGTATGTTATCGTATCGTATATTTAATAAAATGATAGAAAAAAGTGGAGAAGAGAAGAGAGAGAGAGAGAGAGCAAGAGAGAGAGAGTGAGAAGAAAATAGAAAGGAAAGAAAATATGATGAAGAATAAGGAGGAGAAGAAGAAGAAGGAAAAAAAAAAGATGTATGAAATTTGAGCTTTATTCTTTCTCAATCATTTAAACCTTTTATATTTTAATAGCCTAAAAATCTTTTTTTTTTTTTCTACAGCAGAAATAGTAGCATTAGCATTTAGCAATAGCAAATAGTTTTGATGGAGAAAAAAAGAAAATGAAAGTAGCAGAAATGCAATTGGATCTATTTATTTACTGATTTAACTAAAACTTAAAATGCGATTATATTTAAACACATTTTTTTTTCTCTTTCAAAAATTTATTTCATCAAAAAGTTTTCCATTTCTCATCCATTTATTTAATCGTTAAATTGTAACATATCAAATAACCATTAAGAAAAAAAAAATGATGGAAATGAATCTTGAAAATGTGCTGTAAATGATATTTTAGTCACTAATGACTTAATGGTTTTTAATTTCAGAATTTAATTAATAATACGATTAAAGAGTGTTGCAAGTTTAAAATGTTTATTACGGTAATTTTATTATTGGAAATTTAATATTTCCAACATTTTAGTATTAGTGTGAATTTTAAAATAATTCAAATTATTTTGAAAATTCCTTTCATCTTAATTAATTAATTGTTTAATCATCAAAAAGGAAAAAAAAAAGTTTTCTATTTCTTAGCATCTATTTACTTGTTAAATGTGATTTTAACAAAATTTCTTAAATTATTTTTCAAAAACAGTTGTTCCATATGCATTTATCGACATAAATTATATGTATGTCATAAATGTATACATATATGTAGTATCGATACCGATTAATATTCTAATTACATAATTAAGGATTAAAGGTCACAAGAGAAATTTAAAAATGGTGACACATTCTTCTTTTCTTCGTTATTTTCTTTCATTATGAAACGGAAAGATTAAGAAAGAAAGGTGCAAGAAAAGAGGAAGAAAATAAGTTAATGCTAACAATTATTCATTAACCTATGTGACAAGGTTCTTCGCTTTTTTCTTTCTCCTTTTTCCTTTTTCCTTTTTTTTTTAAATTTCAGTTTCAAATTCTTTACCTTTTCTATTTATCTTGATTGAAGATATTGATATTTGTGTATGTATGTATGTCTATGTGTGTGTATGTATGTGTATATATGTGTATGTATGTATGTGTGTTTGTGGTAATTTCTGCTAAAATGTTTGCAAAATACTCTACAAATCAAAATTCGACACTTGTCATCATTGTTGTATCAATATTGTCATACTGTGGCTATTTGCTTTATTGCTATATGAATGTTGTGTGTGTTTGTATGTGTCTGTCTGTCCGTATACCTGTGTGTGTGTGTCTGTCCGTATACCTATGTGTGTGTGTGTGTGTGTACATAAAGATCGTTGATACCTGTTAATCGTTTTAACTCTTCAATCTACCATGATGAAGTAGTAGAATTTGTCATTAAAAGGTGAGAAACGATGAAAAGGTGTCGTATAATTTTTTTTTTTTCTTTTTTAAATGGCGCAAAATATTTTATTACTATAAATTATGATTGTATTAAAGTTAAAACGAAAAAATTTTATCTTCTATCTGCTAACATAGATATATAAAACAATTTATTACCTACCTATTCATTTATTACTTCCGAGAATGTCAAAATTTTTTCTTTTTATTTCAAGAAAAGTATTATATCTCAAAATGTTTTAAAAGCTGAGAAATCTTTCCATTCTATAGCTATCATAATTTTATAATTCAATTAGTTTAGAATAATCAAATAAGAAAAGAAAAAAAAAAAGAAGCTAACATTAAAAATTTTAATGCCTAATTTTAAATGCTTCAGAAAAGAAAATTTCATATTTTTTTTTTTTGAACCATTTCTTTTTTTTTTTTTGTGTGTTATTATTAATCTTATTATTACTAAAATTTGCCATTGTTATTTATCTCAAAAATTGTCATATTATTAATTAATTATTGCTATTACCGTTACTACTAAATTATCACCATTATTGTCATTGTTATTATTTATTATTATCATTAATCAATTATCATTAATTTCAAATTTAATGCTTCCAAATAAATTCTTCTTCAAATATTAAATATTTTCATAGTTAGTCAAGAAAAAAAAAAGAAAAAGAAAAAAGTTTAAATAAATTTTCTTGTTCAGTGATTTTCAAATAAATTACTATCATTGCAAAAATTGACCTTTAAATTATGTTCTCTTCTTCTTCCTTTTTTTTCCCCTGCAATGTTCTTTTTCACCTAAAACAATCCATTTGGATTACATCAATTGTGACATTGCTTTTTTTTGAAATTCCGCCTCCTTTGGATTATGTCTCTCTCTCTCTCTCTCCCTTTTATTTCTTGCTTCTTTCTTACTTGCAATTGTTAGATTTAATTTTTAAACAGAATTATTTCCTTCATTATTAGTATTCATTCTTTTCTCTTCATATACATTATAAAAATTAATTTGAATGAAATAAACAAAAAAAAAAAAGAGTTATAATTTCAAAATTAGGGAAATTAATCATTAATTTCCCTAATTTGGTAATTATTAATTTACCAAAAATTTTTTACAAATCGAACAAAACAAAGAAAATGAAATAAAAGCATAATACAATCAAAGTGATTCTATTTTCTTTTCATGTTTTTTTATTTAGCTGAAAACTTTCAGTCATTTATTTAATTATTAAAATTTATTAAATTTTAATGACGCAAAATTGATTCATTTTTTTTCGTTTTTTTTTTTTTTTAATTTTAGCATTGTATCAAATTAGTTACATTAAAATTTCGTTTCTTTTTTCAATTTTCTAAATAATAATGATTGTATCTTAATTATGACCCAAAATTTACATTCATATTTTATCAAATATTTAAATCATTTACTTTTGTTCAAATTCTAGCATAGTAGTTTAAATGAAAAAGCAGCAACATATTGGAGAAAATATAACTTTTACATAAGCTTAACTTTTAAATATTTTACATAAGCTATATAAGCTTAAAGAAAAAGCAAAAAAAAAAAAAAAGACAATTTATTAACATTGATCCATTTCATATAACAGATAAGCAAACGAAATAATTTCCTTTTCTCTTTTTTTGTTTTCTTTTCAAATTAATTAATTTACTAATTTTATAAATTATTAATAAATTTTGACGGAACAAAGATTTTAATATAAGAAATAAATCAAATTTTTAATTTATTCCTTCGATTTTTTTCTAGTTTTGCTTTTTTTTTCCTTTTTTATATTTATTAAACGATAAAAGTTATATTTATATTACAAATACATACACACACATACATATAAAAATGATTTTAGTAATTTTATTGATGAGTTAAAAAAAAAAAAAAAATTAAATTTTTGTTCAATTTCTTTTTTTCTTACATAAATTTGCTTTTTTTTTTTTTTTTTAAAAAAAAAACAACAGTTCATCCGCTTCTATAACATCAATCTTTTTGCCGTGTAAATTACTTCACTAAAGCAAATTTTTGTTGTCTTCAACAAGGGCATCACCTTTTGCTATAACCTCTGATCCCTTCAAGAAATTTTTAATCCATCTTTTTCGTTTTTTTCTCTCTTTCCTTCTCCCTCTCTCTTTCTCTCTCTCTCATTCTTTTTCACTCTTTTATTTAACTCTTTTTAAATAACTATATTTTTTTGAAATATTTATATTAGGCGGAAATTAATTAATTATTTTCATTAAAGCGGAACTTTAATTTTAAAGCTTAAATTTTCAGCAAAATAAAAAAAAAAAAAAAAAAAAGGAAAAAGAAAAGAGAATTGAATTAGAAGCAAATTAATTGATAAATTTGTTTAAATTTTTTCTTATTTTCTTTTTTTGAAAAAAAATTTCTTATTTTATTACATTTTTTAACAAATTAATTGCATGAATTTTACAGCAAATTAAACAATATTTTCGAATTTTTTGTTACTTAAAAATACCGTATGAAAGATAAAATTTATATTAAAATTTTTTAAATTTACAAATTAAATTATAATTTGTATATTGGATAATTTTGTGCTTTATTACACTAAAAATAGACTAATTGGATCATTCAATAGTTATAAAAATAAATCAAATATAGAAGTAATAAAAGAAAGATGCTACAAAATATAAATTTAAATTAGAATGAATAGAATTAATTTAATTTTGTTATGATATAAGAGTGATATTAATAATTAACATGTTTAGTTGTTTTTAGTTTTTAAACTGGAAAAATAGCCATTGCTTGGGAAATGTGACAATAAAATGAAATGATTGAAATGATATTAAGGTTAATGGTTGTTTGCTTTTTTTATTCTTCTAAGTAAATTGAAAAAGAGGATTAATTAAATTAATGCATCATTAATGGCTTAGTGTGAAATATAATTAATTTTATTAATATACAAAATGCTAGTAAATCATTTTAAAAAAGGAACAACATTTGATAATAGTACAGTTTAACAATTTAACTAGTAATTAAGTAATTGAATAAATATTTCATTCCATGTTCTTTTTTCTTTCTTATCATAAGTAGCTTAATGTGAAATATTAATAGTTATTATGAAATGTAACTAATTTCATTTTTATATACAATACTAGCAAATAATTAAAAAAAGAAAGCAACATTTAATAATAATACAGTTAACAATTTAACGAGTAATTAAGTAATTGAATAAATATTTTACTTCTTTCTTACCTTTCTCTTCTTTTTTAGCAACTTGATACATATGGCGCCATGTGTATACATCATTCATACCTGTGTATGATGTCTAATTTATCGGCTTCTTCAAAGGATGTCATATTTTTGTTTGATCTCTGTGAAGTTAATC